AAAAACGTACAAGAATAGAAAATCTAAAGTCTAAGCGTGGTGGCTCACGTCTATAATCCCCTCACTTTGGGAGGCCAAGGGAGGCGGATCACTTGAGGTCAGGAGTTCGAGATGAGCCTGACCAACATGGTGAAACCCTGTCTTTACTAAAAATACAAAAATTAGCTGAGTGTGGTGGTACATCTTTAATCCCAGCTTCTTAGGAGGCTGAGGCAAGGAGAATCCCTTGAATCTGGGAGGCAGAGGTTTTAGTGAGTCAAGGTCGTGCCGCTGCATTCCAGGCTGGGCAACAGAAGGAGAGCCTGTTTCCAAAAAAGAAAAAGAAAAAGAAAATCTAGAACTGGTTTGGAAGAGAGTTCAGCTATATGACAGTAGTGCTGTTATAGCCAGGGAAAAAATTGGTTCATTTAGTAAATGAGGCTACTGAACTGGTTCTCCATATGGAAGAAAAATAATTGTGAAAGAAGATAATTTGACCCCTATCTGATACCATTTCAAAAAATGGTGTAGGCCAGGCACGGTGGCTCATGCCTGTAATCCCAGCACTTTGGGAGTCCAAGATGGGCAGATTACCCGAGGCCAGGAGTTGGAGACCAGCCTGACCAACAGGGTGAAACCCCCGTCTCTAATAAAAATACAAGAGTCAGCTGGGTGTGGCGGCACATGCCTGTAGTTCCAGCTATTCGGGAGGCCAAGGCCTCAGAATGGCTTGAACCCAGGAGGTGGAGGTTGCAGTGAACCACCCAGGAGGTGGAGGTTGCAGTGAACCAAGATTGTGCCACTGCACTCCAGCCTGGGCAAAAAAAAAAAAAAAAAGATGATTTAAACATTTACATTTAAATGAAAACATAAAATTAAAGAACAAAGATCTTAGAATAAAATAGAAGAGACCTCATGTACAATGAAGGTATAAAGTAGACCTTCCTAACCATAGCAGCAAAACCAGCTATTATAAAAGAAAGAACTTCAGTTAACCCTTGAGCAACACAGGTTTCAACGGCACGGATCAACTTATATGAGATTTTTTTAAATAAACGTATTGAAAAAGTTTTTAGAAATGTGTGACAATTTGAAAAAACAGATGAACAAGCTTAGAAATATCAAAAAAAGAAAATGTTGAGTATGTCATGAATGCATAAAATATGTGTAGAAACTAGCCTACTTTATCATTTACTCTCATAAAATATACAAAAATCTATTATAAAAAGTTAAAAGTGGCCAGGCGCAGTGGCTTATGCCTGTAATCCCAGCACTTTGGGAGGTCAAGGCAGGCGGATCACCTGAGGTCAGGAGTTTGAGACCAGCCTGACCAACATGGAGAAGCCCCATCACTAAAAATACAAAATTAGCTGGGCATGGTGGTGCATGCCTGTAATCCTGGCTACTCAGGAGGCTGAGGCAGGAGAATTGCTTGAACCTGGGAAGTGGAGGTTTCAGTGAGTCGATATTGAGCCATTGCACTCCAGCCTGGTCAATAAGAGCGAAGCTCAGTCTCAAAAAAAAAAAAAGAAAGTTAAAATTTATCAAAACTTACACATACAAATGAAAGGGGAAAAGTTCCCTTGTCCCCTTTGCAGGGCATGCGATGGGGGTGTGGCCGGGTTCTTCAGTGCCCTGCTGTTCAAACCTCTAGGGGAGCAAACAGACGGGCAGGCTTTGGGGCTCCTACCCCACATCAGTGTCTAGAGGTGAATGTTTACAGCTGAAGCCCCAGTGGGCGTGTGTTACAGGGTGCTCTTTTAGTTTTGCTGTTTATAGGCAGCTTGTGTTAGTCAGCTCAATTAGACCCTCTACCTTGTTGCAAGGACAGAGGGCTTTCTGTATCCCAGGGTTTCTTGCCTTGGTGTACCAGAAGAATCAGATCACACATGGGCTTGGAGAATGAGTGCAAGGTTTTGCTAAGTGGAATTAGCTCTCAGCAGATGGGGGAGCCAGAAGAGAGATTGGTTTTCCCCTGGAGTTGGGCCACTTGACAGCCTGGGCTGTCCTCAGACTGCCCCAGCCAAACTCCACAGTGTTCCGCCAGTCAGTGGCCTGTTGGAATGTGAGTGCCAGTGTGTTCCTCTCCAAGTCCAGATGCCTGTATGCTCCTCCACCAATGTGCTCCTCTCAATGTCCAGCTTGCTAGGGTCTCAGGTTGAACTGGTCTGTCACCCAGTCTGGAGTGCAGTGGAGTGATCTCAACTCACTGCAACTTCTACCTCCCAGGTTCAAGTGATTCTCCTGCCTCAGCCTCCCCAGTAGCTGGGATTACTGGCATGTGCCACCATACCCAGCTAATTTTGTATTTTTAGTAGACAGGGTTTCTCCATGTTGGCCAGGATGGTCTGGATCGCTTGACTTCGTGATCCCCCGACTCGGCCTCCCAAAGTGTTGGGATTACAGGCGTGAGCCACTGCGCCCGGCCTGGGTCTCTGATTTTTTTTTCCCCCAGGACAGAGTCTCGCCCTGTCGCCCAGGTTGAAGTGCAGTGGCATGATCTCGGCTCACTGCAACCTCTGCCTCCCAGGTTCAAGCGACTCTCCTGCCTCAGCCTCCCAAGTAGCTGGGATTATAGGCACCTGCCACAATGCTTGGCTAATTTTTGTATTTTTAGTAGACACGGGGTTTCACCATGTTGGCCAGGATGGTCTGGATCTCTTGACCTCATGATCCCTCCACCTCAGCCTCCCAAAGTGCTGGGATTATAGGCATCAGCCATGGTGCCCTGCTGGGTCTCAGGTTTTTATAGGCACAGGATGGGAGTGTGATGGGCCAGAGTGGTCTTGGGAAGTGCAATATTTGGGCACAAGGTAGGAGTGCCTGCCCTCATCTAGGTCTGAGGGGGTGGAGCCCTAGCCAGGGACCATGCCCTTCCTCTACCCCATCCCTTCCCCCTTTCCGTATCATTTAAAGGGATCACGCTCTTCCCTTCCCAGCACTAACATCACAAACACAGACCATACCTGGTGCCATTCACAGTGGAGAGAAATGTAGATAAATGTAAAGATGCAGTACTATGGTAATAATTTTATAGCCAGTTTCTGCTGGTATTATGGTGAGCTTAAGTGTTGCAAGTATCCATTTAAAATGCTGTGTGACACTAACCATCTTTGCATGAGCAGTTCATCTCTTCAGTAAATTGCATATCACAGTAAAAAGTGATCTCTCTTGTGGTGGCTCACGCCTGTAATCCTAGCACTTTGGGAGGCTGAGGTGGGAGGATTACTTGAAGCCAGGAGTTGGAGACCAGCCTGGGCAGCATAGTGATACCCCATATCTCTGTATATTAAAAAAATAGTTTAAAAAATGTGATCTCTTTTATTTTATTTTATTTTTTTGAGATGGAGTTTCGCTCTGTTGCCTAAGCTAGAGTGCAATGGCAGAATCTTGGCTCACTGCAATCTCTGCCTCCCAGGTTCAAGCAAGTCTCCTGCCTCAGCCTCCCAAGTAGCTGTGTTTACAGGCATGTGTCACTATGCTGGGCTAATTTTTTATTTTTAGTAGAGATGGGTTTTTTTCATGTTGGTCAGGCTGGTCTCAAACTCCTGACCTCAGGTGATCCGCCCGCCTTGGCCTCTCAAAGTGCTGAGATTACAGGTGTGAACCACCATGTCCAGCCTCTGGTATGATTTTTTTCTTTTCTTTCCTTTTCCCTTCTTTCCTTCCTTTCTTCCTTCTTTCCTTCCTTCCTTCCTTCCTTCCTCTCTCTCTCTTTCTCCTTCCTTCCTTCCTTTCTTTTCCTTCCTTCCTTCCTTCCTTCCTTCCTTCCTTTCTTTCTCTCTCTCTCTCTCCCCTTCCTTCCCTCCCTCCCTCCATCCCTCCCTCCCTCCCTCCTTCCTTCCTTCCTTCCCTTCTTCCTTCCTTCTTCTTTCTTTTCTTTTCTTTCTTTCTTTCTTTTTCTCTCAAGATGGCGTCTAGCACTGTGGCCCAGACTGGAATGCAATGGTGCAATCTCGGATCACTGCAACCTCCACCTCCTGGGTTCAAACGCTTTTCCTGCCTCAGCCTTCTGAGTACCTGGGATTACAGGCACCCGCCATCATGCCCAGCTAATTTTTTGTATTTTTAGTAGAGATGGGGTTTCACTATGTTGGCCAGGTTGGTCTCGAACCCCTGACCTTGTGATCTGCCCACCTTGGCCTCCAAAAGTGCTGGGATTACAAGCATGAACCACCACACCCAGCCTTTTTTTTTTTTTTTTTTAACTGAACCAGAATACATAGTTCTCATGTATTTTTCATCATGTTTATTGTGAAAGTGTAAACTTGAATGAAACCATGGGACTCATATTAATTATGATGTAATGCTGGAAGTGCTCCCAGGAAGCAGAGAAAAGTCATGACATTACAAGAAAAAGTTGACTTGCTTGATATGTACCACAGATTGAGGTACCAACCTCAATGTACCAACCACATCTCAAGATAAATGAATCCAGTGTGAGGATGATTGTAAAAAAAAAAAAAAAAAAAAAAAAAAAGAAAAGAAAATTTGGGAAACTATTGCTGCTGCTCTGCCTGCAAGTGCAAAACCTTATACTTTTCTTTTTTTTTTTTTTTTCTTTTTTAAGAGATGAAGTTTCACCATGTTGGCCAGCCTGGTCTCGAACTCTTGACCTCAGGTGATCCAGTTGCCTTGGCCTCCCAAAGCGTTGGAATTACAGGCGTGAGCCACCATGCCCAGCCTTCTTCTTTTTTTTTTTTCTTGAAACTCATTCTCTCACCCAGGCTGGAGTGCAGTGGTGTGATCTCAGTTCACTGCAACTTTTGCCACCCAGGTTCAAGCGATTCTCCAGCCTCAGCCTTCTGAGTAACTGGTACTACAGGTGTGTGTCACCATGCCAGGCTCATTTTTGTGTTTTTAGTAGAGACTGGGTTTCACTATGCTGGCCAGGCCTGTCTTGAACTCCTGACCTCAGGTGATCCGCCTGCCTTGGCCTCCCAAAGTGCTGAGATTATAGGTGTGAGCCACCACACCCAGCCCCTTATATTCTTTTTGTGAAATATATATATATATATATTTTTTTTTTTGAGACGGAGTTTCGCTCTTGTTACCCAGGCTGGAGTGCAATGGCGTGCACCACCATGCCCAACTAATTTTTGAATTTTTAGTAGAGACGGGGTTTCACCTTGTTGACCAGGATGGTCTCGATCTCTTGACCTCGTGATCCACCCACCTCGGCCTCCCAAAGTGCTGGGATTATAGGCGTGAGCCACCGCGCCCGGCCCGAAATATTTTTATTTTTGAGACAAGAGTTTCACTCTTTTGCCCAGGCTATAGTGCAATGCTGCGATCTTAGCTCACTGCAACCTCCACCTCCTGGTTCAAGCGATTCTCCTACTTCAGCCTCCTGAATAGCTGGGATCATACAGACACCTGCCACCATGCTCAGCTAATTTTTTGTATTTTTAGTAGAGACAGGGTTTCATCATGTTGGCCAGGCTGGTCTCAACCCCCTGACCTGAGGTGGTCTACCTGCCTTGGCCTCCCAAAGTGTTGGGATTACAGGCATGAGCCAACGCTCCCAGCTGAAATACCTTTTTAAAAAAGGTGAGCAGATTTATTTTATTTAAAAATTTTTTATAGAGACAAGGTCTCCCTGTATTGTCCAGGCTGGTCTTGAACTCCTGGGCTCAAGCAGTCCTTCCACTTCAGCCTCCCACAGGGATTACAGGCATGAGCCACTGTGCCTGACTGATTTAAAAAAATTTTTTTTTGAAACAGAATTTCACTCTTGTTGCCAGGCTGGAGTGCACGATCTCCACTTACCGCAACCTCTGCCTCCTGTGTTCAAGTGATTCTCCTACCTCAGCCTCCTCAGTAGCTGGGAATACAGGTGTGCTCCACCACGCACAGCTAATTTTGTATTTTTAGCAGAGACGGGGTCTCTCCATGTTGGTCAGACTGGTCTCAAACTCCCAACCTCAGATGATCCACCTGCCTTGGCCTCCCAAAGTGCTGGGATTACAGGCATGAGCCATCAAATTTTTTTTATCTTTGAAATACCTTTTCATCTCGTATTGAAATTACAGCTTTCAGGCCAGCCATGGTGGCTCACGCCTGTAATCCCAGCACTTTGGGAGACTGAGACAAGCAGATTCCCTGAGGTCAGGAGTTTGAGACTAGCCTGACCAACATGGTGAAACTCTATCTATACTAAAGAAAAATGAAAAACATTAGCCGGGTCTGGTGGGGCATGCCTGTAAGATCAGTTACTTGGGAGGCTGAGGCAGGAGAATCACTTGAACTTGGGAGGTGGAGGTTGCAGTGAGCCAAGATTGTGTCATTGAATTCCAGTCTGGGCAACAAGAGCAAAACTCAAAAAAATTCCAAAGAAAGAAACAAAGAAAGAAAATACAACTTTTATGTGAGTGTAGGATTTCTATATTAAAGGCCTACTGGCTAGGCACAGTGGCTCATGCCTGTAATCCTAATACTTTAGGAGGCCTAGGCAGGAGGATTACTTGAGGCCAAGAGTTCAAGACCAGCCTGAGCAACATAGCAAGACCCTGTCTCTAGAATTAAAACAATATACAAAATTGAAAGAGAAAAAGAAAGGCATACCTATAGACAAATATGATTTGAGAAAAAGCAAAATTACTATATGACAATTTAAAGCAAAAAGAAGGTGAAGGATCTACCACTGGAGAATTTAATGCCAACCAAAGATGGTTTGACAATTTTAGAAAGAGGTTTGGCTTAAAAAACGGCTAGGTGTGGTGGCTCATGCCTGTAATCCCAGCACTTTGGGAGGCCGAGGTGGGCAGATCACCTGAGGTCAGGAATTGAGACCAGCCTGGCCAACCACTTCTCTACTGGAAATACAAAAAATAAGCCAGGTGTGCTGGTGGGTGCCTATAATTCCAGCTGCCCAGGAAGCTGAGGCAGGAGAATTGCTTGCATCTGGGAGTTGGAGGGCGCAGTGAGCCAAGATTGCGCCATTTCACTCTAGCCTGGCCGACAGAGGAAGATTCCATCTAAAAAAAAAAAAAAAAAGTCAAGATAATGAGAAGTAACCTCTGCCAGCCAAGAGGCAGCAGATGAGTTTCCAGATGCTCCTCTGGAGCTTCCAAATACTTGGCCAATGATTTTATTGGCCAAGTACAGTGGCTCATGTCTGTAATCCCAGCACTTTGGGAGGTCAAGGTGGGTGGATCACTTGAGCCCAGGAGTTTGAGAGCAACACAGTGAGACCCTGTATCTAAGGAAAAAAATTAAAAAATTAACCAAGTGTGGAGGCACACATGTGTAGTCCCAGCTACTCAAGAGGCTGAAGCAGGAGGGTATCATGAGCCCAGGAGTTTGAGGCTGCAGTGAGCTGTGATTGAACCACTACACTCCAGCCTGGGTGACAGCAAGACCCTGTCTCTCTCACAAAGAAAAAAAAAATCATTGAGCAGAAAAGGCATCTGCCTAAACACAGTTTGAATATAGATGAAAGTTCCATATTCTGGGGGAAAAAATGCTGCAAAGTACATTTATTAGTAAGTAAGAGAAGTGAGCAGCAGGATTTAAGGCAGGAAGAGATAGGCTAACTCTACTGATTTGTGCAAACACTGCTGGGTTTGTGATTAGGACTTCCTTTATCTATAAAGGTGCCAATCCCCAAACCTTGAAGGGAGAAAGTAAACACCAGCTGCTGGTCTTTTGGTTATACAACAAAAACCCTTTTCCTAGATTGATTCCATTGATGTTTCGTCCCTGAAGTCAGGAAGTAATTTGCCAGTAAGGGACTGCCTTTTAAAATTCTTTTCATGGCTGCGCGTGGTGGCTTACGCCTGTAATCCAAGCACTTTGGAGGCCAACGCGGGCGGATCACCTGAGGTCAGGAGTTCGAGACCATCCTGACCAACATGGTGAAACTTCTTTAAAAAAATAAAAATAAAATTCTTTTCATATTGGACAGTGCGCCTGGACACCCAGAACACCATGAGTTCAACATCGAAGCGGACCAGATGGTCTATTTGCCCTCAAGCATACTGTCTGTAATTCAGCTTTTAGATCAGCGCTCATAAGGACCCTGAAGGCTCATTTGACATGCAGTATGCTATGGAAAGTATCGTCAATGCTGTGGAAGAGAGCACGGATAGAGAGAACATCATGAAAGTCTGGAAGGATTCCACCACTGAAGATACCATCGTTATTACATAAAAAAACCATGAAAGCCATCAAGCCACGAACAATAAATTCCTGCTGGAACAAAACTGTGTCAAGATGTTATACATGACTTTACAGGATTTATAACAGAAGCAGTCAAAGAAATAATGAAAGAACTTGTGCATATGGCAAAAAAAGGTGAAAGGTAAAGGATTTCAAGATACAGATATTGGAGAAATTCAAAAGCTAATAGACATTGTACCAGAGGAATGAACAGAAGCCTTGATGGAGATGAGTGCTTCTGAACCAGTGC